CTGCAAGGCCTGCAGACAACATTGTTGTTCCTTGTAATTGTCCAGCTGTATTTTCTTTTAATCCCTGGTGCTTGTGAATGAGCAACAAGGGCATAAGCAACACGAAACAACATCCTTCTCTGTCTTTTCTACATGCTTTTTACACCTTTCCCACCTACTTTGGTAGTGGAAAAGGCAAGTCACTGTCTGCGGTCATGGTCTTACTTGTGGTCAAATTTCAGTTTACCAGCTATGAGCAAGTACAGAGATCTGTTGTGGTCTTTTTTCACTTTGATTAAGATACTTGTGTGTTACTACTACCTGGTACTGCTCTTTCTATTTGTGTGTGATAGTGACAGGTTAAAAGTCAGGGATAGACCTCCCTTCGATCTACCTGCCCAAACCACAGTACTTCTATGGAGATATTTTAAGGAATGCCAAGTCCCTGTGCAAAAGAGACAAATACATTTTTCATGCAGGGATGTCAGCCTGTTGTTCCAATCACTGTCCCAGGTACAGAAGTCTTTTCTTGAACTTGGCTGTTTGGGGCTTCTCAGAAAATGCTGATCAAATGCCACTGGCCTCTTCTGAGCAGAAGACTCAATGTTCATTCAGTCTTTGTTGTCTTACAGGTTGCTAGCAGCACCAAGAGTACCTTTTATGAAGGTTTCATATCTGTGGAAACAGATCAGGTTCTTGTGAATCAGATTCTTGATTACTTGCTATAGTTGTTAAAAGCAAAAGCAAAGAAACAAACATAGTTTTAGAATCTAAAAAAATTCTTAGTGCCTTAGTAGTTTTATTTTGCAGCAGCTGAAATTACAAAAAGCTTGCAGCGTGCAGTTACTGAGCTACTTATACTGAATGCATGCTGTTACTCAAACTAAAACCCAGAGAAACTTTAACCCTTCCAAGATGACTTGGGGAAAAAAAAAAAAAAAGTAAAAAAACTAAACCAACAAACAACAAAACAAACAGCATAAAAAATAAAGGAGCGTGATGCATTGATTGATCGTGTTTGGGCTGCATTTACACAGGGATTAATTTTTTTCCTCTTTCAGTCACCTGCAAACAGGAAACCTTGCTTTCTGGTGTTTTAAGACAGACAACACCTTCTGTGCCAGCAAAGAACATCTTTTATTGGAAGATGGCATTCACTGGTCATCTTCATCCACATCTCTCCAGATACCCTTCACATTAACCTCTGGTTCTCCTCACAGAACCAGGATCCAGACAGGGACTTTCCTGGGTGTGCCATCTCAGATTTAGCTACCAGAAAGGGCACAGTGTGGGTGGCTCTTACCTGGAGTCCCTCCAGGATGAAATGCAAATCCTCCCCAAGGAGAGCTAGGAGAACCCTGAGATTCTGTCAAAAATACGCATCGTGCTCATAATGTCTGTGCCTCGGCTCCCCTAGCTGTAAGACAGCAGACTTTTAAAAATAAGGTCCAGTGGCCAGTGATGCAGAAGAGAAGACATTAATTACTCTTTTCAGTAGAGCTATCATATGCATGCTACCATTGAGAGTTCAAGGGAGGATCCGAAATAAATTAGGACAGAAGCCTGAGCGTGGCCTGTGAGCAGTCGTCTTTTGAGGTGAGCATGTGAAGGACCTATGGAGGGATCTGCTATGCCAAGGGAAAGAGAGCATCAGCACTAGCTGGTCGTGTCAGTGCTCCATCAAGGAGCTGTCAGAGGTCTTGGATTTTGCTGGTCTGAACAAAGTGCTTTTCCACTTCTGAGCCTCATTTCTGTGGGTAGTATCTTTGACTTGATGATTGTCCCATAAAATGGGATTGTGTTGATTTTTCTGGTGGGTGTTGCTGCTGAATGACCGTGGAAAAGAAAATAATCCTGGAAGCATCTAACTTGGTGTCTCCTCATTGATAGTGCCTGCTCCATGAGGAGTGATTCTCCATGACTTCCATCATTGCTGTGTTACAGTGAGATGACTGCAGATATGACCAGCACTACGTCACGTTTGAGTGGTCTCATCAGTTATGCAAATGCTAGAAATCTCACCCCAGTTATATTGACAATTAATGTCCAGTCTGCTACTTAAAAGCTGCTTTCATGCCTGGAGTAGCAAAGTCCTGTTGAGCTCTCTGTAGGCATTCCTTTAAGCACCATTTTAATTATCATTTTGATTAACAGTACTAAATGGCCCTTAATTTCTAACTGTAAATCAAGCCAAATAGAGATAATTACGTACGAGGTGAGAGTTGATGAGGTTGGTCTCTGTCTGTGTTGAGAGAGATGTTGGATAAAACTGGAAAGGATTAGGAAATCCTGGAGGAAAATTTGTGAGTGTAGATCCCTGCTGGCAGTTTTAGACTGGAAGCAGCCTGGTGACAGAGGAGCACTGTAGTGCCTGTTGAACTGTACTCTCCCTCAGACCATGCGTGCAGAGCTGGTGCTGGGACAGTAGCAAGTAGTAATTGTATAGGAAGGAGAACAGCAGTTCCTCACTGGCTCTCAGACTGAGAGGAGCAGACTAGGAGGAGACTGCTGACTGTGATGCTGCTTCTGCACAATTCAAAGGGATGAAGCTGTCTTCCAGAGTAAAAGATCAGTGTGCAATTCGGCTTTATGTTTAGGGAGTGACTGTGGTGGCCTAAGCACTGTATGAAAAAACAACCAACTTGGTTTTACCTTTTCATCATTATTTGTATTTAAAATAATTAAGCTGATTTTTTTCCCCTTATTGGCCTTTCTATGGTGGCTGAGAGCAGCTGAAGAGAGGATGCAGGCTGGCCTTCTGAGGAACCCTGATGTAAAAATGTGGGTTTAAGAATGAGTCAGCTTTGATTCACTCACATGTCTATCCATTCTCTTTCATAGTTCAGTAGATCTGTACGTACCATCATTCATTGCTTGGAAACTCCTGTTCAGCTAAAATGACACTTTTGGTCAACTGACATTTTGAAAATCCCTGCTTTATTTCTGTCTTTATTAATACTATTATCTTGTCCTTTCTCATCAGCAGATTTCAAAGCCCTCTCTCAAAAGAGGAGTGGCATTATCCACTGCAGCTTGGTGCTTGGGGGCAGAGGGTTTGTTCCAGGTGACAGAAGAGGAAGCCACCCAGGTTTGATGAGCTCCGGTCCCAGGGCCTGGATTGCTGAGCCTGTCACTTAAAGGTGAGCTCCCCCTTGCACCCAATTCAGCAAACCTGCTCCGGGTACAACTTTCAGCTTGGCTGCTCATCCAGCACAGAGATTGTGTAGCTGTGAGCATTCCTGGGAAGACTGGAAGAGGTTATTGGGGCAGAGAAACAAGGACAACATTCACCTGGTAAGAGCTCTGGCTGCACCAGGCACCCTCTGCACACGTGCACAGGCTGGGGGTGGAAAAAAAGCTGAGCAGCAATGTGATGCACCTTTGAGTTTTGTGTGGAAAAGGGGCTTTACGTTAGCTCCATCTGTGGCAGTGCTGCGCGGCCGCGGGGTGCGGCCCGTTAATTCTACACATGAGCAGACTCAGCCTCCTCTCCCACCACAGGGTGTGTGCCCAGAGCTGGACCAGCCTGCGAGCTGCTGGCCAGCCCGGTGCCGTTCCTCAGCACCACTCTTCTCCCTGGACCTCTCATCTCACAGTCGTGAAGAGCCTACAGCTTGCGTTTTGCTTGCTGACCATCATTTTTGCCAGGCCAGCACAGGCAGCCCTTCCTTTGGTTTGGAAAGCAGGGTTTCTCAAAAAGACCCGTTTATTCTTACTGACCAGAAGAATCACAGAGTGGGACAAAGAAGTGACTGCGGTGTGCTGTCTGGCTTCCAGGTTAGTCTGTGCACTTGACTGATGAACAGCTCAGCAGCTCACAGTGTTTGCACCATCAGTATCACATCTGTGAGGACAATGTGCCGTGCTGGCTTGGGAGTGATGTGTTCAGTGACATCTGTGAAACTTTGAGGCACCTGATGCTTGCAATTTGTCCTCCTCTTCCTTTTCAAAATAAGTAATGGATGGCTTAACCCACCCCTTGCATCAGTTTTTCCCAGTTGATTTACTCAGTGGTCTGTAAGGCTTTGAGTAGTGAGAATTTATAGTCTTTTTCTTGGGAAGGAAGACACTTTCTTACTGCAAATAGTGTCTTCCACAGCTATTTTCATTATCTGCATTAAGGCAGATCCTTGTTTGTCAGCCTCAGCGAACTGCTGATGGTAATGCATTCCCAGAATTAGTTATGATGGGTACGTGTGCGCATGAGTATGTGTGCTGCTTTTTATTTTCCATAGTGTATCATGAGAGAGGTTGCATGGAGGTGAGCTTCCACTTAAGTTTCTTATTTAGGGTGATGAGACCAATGAAACTACAATATTCTTACATTTCTTCTCCAGCCCTTCCCTGGTGCATTTTAATGTCTTGTCTGCCCCTTGCAGCCATGCCTGAATGCTGAGGCGGCACTCTGTTATTGACAGCCTAAGAAAAATAAGGGTGTTCCTGCTGAATGGTTGTCACCCATCAAAAAGACACACCAGAAATATCTTCCAATATGTATTTTTCAATGCTTTGCCTGCTGCCACATTACTGATTTTTTTTTTGCCTCTCTTCAGATTTGGGCACAAAAATAATATTAACATTGCTCTGTGAGTTTCCTTCCTGTTCCAGATCTCTGATTAACATCATGTAGGTCTGTGAGTGGCTACTGGAGAATCATACTCTTTGCATTTTGCTGTTATCAAATGCTAGAATTCTTTGTGCGGTTTTGAAGTTATGACAGACCGTTTCTGCAAAATCTCTGTTTTTACTTTCTTTTGTTTGGCCAGATACATCTCCAATGAATGAAAATTGCGTCTTTGAGTTAAGTACTTTTGGAACAAAAACTTTCACTTTGAGATATACTTTTAACCAAGATGCTTCAAATTTATTCATACATGCTAGAAAAATAGTTTTTTAAAAAACACTTTCATTCTAAAATATTTTAAACATTTTCTGTGTTAATTAAAATACAGAAAGGCTATCCTGAATTACAGTCATAAAGTAATTCAAAATGCCTATATGTGTATCTGCACACAGGCATATGTGGCAACTTGGATACGTAGGAGGAAACCTGTCTGTAACACAAGGTAATGCACTTGCTTTTGCGTCTTTATGCACATAAAGAATATATTTTGTGTCCTTTTTCTTAATGACAGAGGGTGTATCCCCTCCCAGAGATGAAACACGTAACAGTAGCAGGCACCGTTAATAGCGTGCTAAGAGTCAGAGCGAGCAAGTCCTACACAGATCAACTGTAGAATAAGAAAATATGGTAATAACCATCCTTCTTGAATAAATGAATATATTTTCCAACTGCATGTGCTGATGACAAGTGGCTGTGTCTCCTCTGCCCCTCCATGCACAGTGCGTTGTGGAGAGCTGGGGCTGCTGTTATATCTGAGCAGTGATTTGTAATCACCGCAGATAAAACTGGCATGTCCATCTCCCACGTTTCACATCTAGGACACTTTCTGTCACAATATTCAGAAAATCTAAAGGCAGAAATAAAAGCAGAAGTAATTAATTATCCAGCACTAGCTTGTTAAATGCATGTGCATTTGCTTGGCTTTTCAAAGTTCCTGCTTTTGTTAGTTTGCTTGCTGGTGAGTTCAGTGACTGGTCTGAAACACATTACAGAGCGTCTTGATCCCCCGTAGACTGAGTGTGAAGTGAATTGGTAGATTCAGTGTGGTAAGTGATGTGAACTCCACACCACTTGCAAATATCTCCAGGTAAGTGCCAGTTCATAAAAAGCATCTTCAGGTACTTCTTAAATTTTTCCCCCATGAAGAAGTAGATGACTGGATTGAGGCAACAGTGAAAAAGGCCGAGGATTTCCGTTACCTGGAAAGCATAGTCCAGATTCCTGCTCATGTGACAGCTTCTAATGACTCCCGTAAATTCGAGCAGTTGTAAGAAAACGACGATGTTGTAAGGGGTCCAAAAGAAGAAAAACACAATCATGACAGCAAAGATCATCCTCACAGCCTTATTCTTTTTCTCATTTCTGCAGTGAACTAATGTTTTAATGATCATGAAGTAGCAAAATATCATAACTATAGAAGGGATTAGGAGCCCTAAAATGTTGATTTCCAAAGTGGAAAAAAGTTTCCATGTCGTAAAATTGCCTGGATATCTCGGCTTGCAGGTAGTATAATTATGTTCGCTAAAAGATTCTCTAAATACAAGTTCTGGAACTGAGGCTGAAAGTGCTACTAGCCATACAACAAGGCTAGTAATCAAGCCGTGGAAGGCAGTCCTTGCTTTCAAGGAAAACACTGCACGAACAACTGCCAGGTATCTGTCTATGCTCATAAGCATAATAAAAAATATCCCACTGTAAAACCCAACCAGGTAGATCCACGAAATTATTTTACACCAGGGAGTTCCAAAAACCCATTGGTCTATCGTGAAATAAGACCAGAACGGCAAGGATAAAACAAAGAGCAAATCTGAGATGGCGAGGTTTAGCAGGTACACATCAGTCATGCTCTTCAGCCTCTTGTATTTGAAGAGGACCACAATGACCAGAACGTTCCCCATGAGCCCAACCAGGAAGACTAGGGTGTACAGAACAGGTAGGAAGGAGGCTGCAAACCTCTTGACATTTTCCTTACTGCATGGCTTTGGAGCATCGTTGTAATTATCGTAATAGTCATAAAAGGTTGAGAGTTCAACTTCAGAGGACTCTGTACTTGAAGAACTCATGTTTTTCCCCCAGTTCCTGAGAAGGAAAGAGTACAGAAATGTCAGTGGCTCTTTCAGTGTGTGAAGACCGTGTGGTTACTCCACGAGCTTGAATCACGAGCAGTGACTGACTTGCAGTTCCCGCGCACTTCTCGTTACAGGTTCTCAAACACTATTTAAGCATTATGGGATGCATATGCACCCTTGCAAAATGTACTGTCCTTAACATGCGTGTGCGTAGTCCTTGCAAAACCACGCAACTTGGATGTCAAGCACACAGAATGCTGTTCAAATAGCAGCAAGGAAAGTGATTAGGAATGAAAGATATAGACCACAGATATCAAATCGGAGAGGGATAAATCCTGTGTGGAATGAAGTAAAAAGCAAAGCCATGATTCATAGCAGTTCAGGATTTCACAAACCTTTCCAATCAGGCAAACAACACCAGAAGACGACAGTAATAAAAATGCATCTGACCTTCTATGCTTACTGAAAACTGGCATGAGTTTTCAGTAAGTGGTCTCTTCAGTGGCTAGATGAATAACAGGAATCTGTCATTTTTGTTTGTATGTTCTTTTCTAATAGGCAGAGACAGAGTTTTAAGTGATATTACTTTGAGGTAAGTAACTTGGACACAGTGCAAATATTTTGCTGATGCATTTTTCTGTGTGTTACATCACAGCATGTCATTTTTTTAGCCTAACGTACCAGAATTTGTATAAGACTGAGTTATGTCCTTCCATTTTGTCTTCTGCTTTCCATTTGTAAAAATAAAAGTGAGTATCATTGCTTTATTTGTCTTTGCACTGTACGTTGCTGCTACATAACAATGAACATTGACTATCATTAACCTGACCCTTACGGTGTGTAGTCCCAGGCATGACACCTCTCCAGCCTGCAGTTCTGATCCATTATTTAATCTGGAATTACAGACTAAATTACAAGGAATTTATTCTGAATTAAAAGTCACAGGGATGAAACCGTTTGTTGTCACTGGTCTAGAGATGACAGCTTTGCAACAACTGCACCTAGACACACCTGAATCTAATCTAGGTTCAACATAATATACTTAAATATTTAAAACTGAAAACATATGCTCACAGAACAGACATACACCCACTTCTGATGATGCAGGAGTTCTTATAACTGCTTTAAAACTTACCTGAGCAGCAATGAAAGGTAAATGAAAAAGCATTACAGTCACAAAGATGATGAGCATACATGATACACAACTGTTTCAGCAACTGCATTTTGTGAATTTTACCTTTTCTCCTCCTTTCTTCTCAGATGTTGTGAAGGAGCTTCTTTGCTTTAAGGGTGCAGAATCACTTGCTTCTCACCAGGTAACTCTGTCAGGGAGGTGCTGCCTACACAGTGATATCTAGCAGCTGCAGAAAGCAGATGTAGCTGTGTCTCTTAACGGAAACTTCGTACTTCCTTACAGATTGTATCACAAATGTTTCTCTCCTCAATCAGAGATGGTCCCTTAAACTTGGAAATAAAATTAAACACATCTTATAATGTGTAAGGAAATGCAGAATTTCCACTGAGGGCCTGATTGCTGAGTTAAGGCAGTTTTATCTTATCCAGTAATCATTAAAATAGATGTCACTCAGCAGCTCTCATTCAATAGAAACCTTGTTCTTTCCTATGGGTTGTGAAATGCATCTCGATCTCAGAAAAAAAAATAATCAAGGGATCATCTGTAGTGAGCAGAGGAAGGCATGTGGTGGGTGTGTGGAAGGTGGGTTTCTAGTCCCTCTCTGCCTGGTAACTAATTTTGCAAGTTATGCTATATAATTGTAGAAAAAAAAGAGCTGTATAGATTTAGTGTAGGGAAGGGTCCTTCTATTCATTGTTTGATCTTCCTAACTGCTGCTTATCTTGCTAAGAAAAGAAACGAAGGCATGTTAATTCACACTACCTTTCTGCTTGATGTCTCTTGTAGCAGGTTTTATATACATCAGATCTACCTCCTACCACTGACCTGGCACAAACAGTGACAGTGGTCAAAATATCAAAGAAGCAGCAGGATGTGTGCACGCATGCATGTGTGGTGTAAGGGCAGAGGGTGCTGAGGTTTACTCTGGTGGCTGTCACAGCTGGGAGCTTTGCAGCTTCTATGAATTTCTCCTAGGAGTGCAGTGGGCCCTGTCTGTCTTTTGGTGGATCCTGGGAAGGGAGAAGAGCGCACAGAGGACGTGTGCTAGTCAAATGGGATGGTTTTGAGTCCCACCAGCAGAACAGCTGTGCCAGCAGCTGGCAAGTGCTGCTCCCCTCTGTGTCCCAGAAAAGGCCAGCCAAGCAGAAGTAAAAGCAATTTCTCAATAGGGGAGGCTGCTTGCTTGTTAGCAGGAGATACTGAAGAGACACAATGAGAAACAGAAACAAGAAGGCTACAGGAGGTGGTTGGGAAGGTAGGAAGAATCATAGATCTCAGTCCAGCAGAGATTACGTGTCTTCTAGTTCAACCTCTGGTGTTATTCCGGACACAGGTGTTATAGCCTTTGTGCAGTTATGCTCTTTGCTGCTATCCCATATACCTCCGACACTGTTACTCTGCCCAATAACTTACATTTGGCTGAAGTGTTTCTTCCAGAAGAACTTGATGTGAAGACAGCATGAGATGTGGGATCTACTGGTTTCATGCTTCACCAGAATAAAACAATCGTACAGGAAGTAGCTTCTCAGTCATCTTTCGCAAGCCACACCTGTGGAGACTTTTTAAATCTGTCACTGGGAGATGTTCCTCCACAGCAGGTTACTGCTCTGTGGATAATGTACCTCTTCAGTTTATTAGCAGTCCTTTACAGATGTGAACATCAGATGAGCAAGCAACACTGGTACCAGTTTCATCATCTCTGCTCACAGAAACTAGATGATGTTCTTTTTGCTGCTCTTTTGTCCGTGTAAGGGCCTTGTTAATCTCTTTGACACGTTGTTGCACTGGTGGCACAAGTTCAGCTCTTCACCCACAATAGCAGTGACACAAAATCTTTCTTTAAGCACCTGCTTTTCAGGAAAAAAACACCCCTTGCTCCGTGGGCATTGTTCTTTCTTAGTTTTGCCTCAATAAACCACCGTGCTTGTCTTGTCCCATGCATTTTCTACTCCATCAAACTTAGATATTTCTTTTGAAGTTCATCAGTAGTGAGTTTTCTTGATTTCCAGATGAAGTAGTGAATAGAGTTGAATCCAGATTCAATCTATCTTCTACTCTGTAAGAACCCTTCTTGGTTAAGGGATGATTTCCCATCATCAGCAACCTTTTGAGGTCTGTCAACCTGTCTGTCATACTGTTAGCAGGGACCAAGTCTGCAGCCATATGAATGCCAGTTTAGCACAACTCATATTGAAGAAAGGACCTATCTGACATATTGCCTTTTGCCTAGTCCTTCCTTGGAAGACTCAAGCAGTGAATGCTTCCTAAGCAGCTTTTTGTACCTGCTGACTGCCTTGGGTGGAAAGCTGGGCTGCTACCACAGGAGGAGTAGGGCAGCAAAATCTCCTTGTCGAGGCACGTGTGTGTGGCTGTAGTAGGTTGGAGAGGAATGGCTGGACCACACCGTTTTGTAAAGTAGCAGTTGTGTTTCAGAAGCCTGCCATACCAAGGTGTTTCATGCTGCATCAGCAAAGGGGAAGGTCTGTCTGTATAAGGAGACTGAGCAAGAGCATATCTGCTGAAAGAGGAATGCTCGGCCACAGAAGGCAAAGAATGATTGTGACTATAGGCAATAAAAACTTAGGAAGCATGAACTCCAGAAAATGAAGCTGAAAAAAATATCTGCCAGTTCATGAAAATCAAGAGGATAAAAATGAACCCTGAGACACCTTCTGGTGGCCTACCAATGGACTGAGTCCCTGGAAGATCCTGCAAGCAAAACTGCAGAGAGGACAAAAAAAAAAAAAATCTCTGAGCAAATGAGACAATGCAGAAAATGGATGAAAGGTGTTGTGGGTGAAGGTCCTGAAAGGGCTTGGAGAGAAAGAAGAGTGAAAGGGAGTACATGTAACTGTAGTCCATAGTAGGGGAGCTCTGAGGTCCCTTTCTACCGTGGCAGTGTCCTTTTTCAGCTTCTCCTTGGAGAAGAAGAAGCTGACAGAGATTAACAAAAGGGGGATGGCAGGAGACTGTGAAGTTAAGAGGAAAGGGGGAGGGGATCTCAGTGAAATGTAGAGGATACTGCTGTGAAACTAACAGGTTGGCAGGGGAAGGGGAGAAGAAAGAAGTCTTACCTCTTTACTAGATGGTATCAGGTCTGTGGCACTGACCAAATAAATCACAAGAGTGCAGAGAGGTGGACTGAACCTGATTAGCCTGACTGGGAGGAGATTAACCTTTTATACGGGATGGGGGGAGGGTGTATTAAAACCAAAAGAAGGGAACTTAATAAAAGCAAAAAGCAGAACAACCCAAACAATGAAAAACCTTGCTTCTCATCAAAAGATGATTTCAGCCACTCCCACCTTTTAGGGAAAGTGTTATCATTAACTTCCCGCTGTACAGGATGCATAGAAGTCTTGCCTAAGGAAGGACTAGAGATAGACGTCCATCTAATCCACTAGCTAGGCTGTGAGATATCACTGATATTCCAGTGCACCATCCATTCCCTCTCATATCAGTGTTGGCCATGGAGAGATGATTCAGAAGTGTTTATTAGTGAGGTCCTCATCCAGAAGAGACTGCATCAGGAGCGAGGCAGGTGACAGTGACTAAAGACAGCCAGCTATTGCAAAAATCAGTATTTTGACTGTGTGGATCAGCGCAGGATCCAGGCTGCCAAACTCACAGCCGGACAAACAATTGCCTTTCTCAACAATCCGTCCTCTGCATCAGGCAGCCAACCCCTCCTTGCGCGGTCAGGCCTCCTGCAGTTCTTTTGCAATTCAAGTAAATTTGAATCTCAGTTTGCACATCTGTGGTTCCCATCCTTGCTCATTAGCAAAGTGTTTGTGCCACCTATTGTGCAGTTCCTTTCCTCGTAATTTTCAATTTATTCCAATATTTCCTGTGTATGACGAAAACTGCAGCCATCTGACCAAGAACTAAAAAAGTGACCTAGTTTTAGAGACAACCACTGTCTACACTGTTGTCTCAAGTTTACCTCAACCTTCTTCAACATACTAATTCACTTTGGCTAAAACAGCAGTTTGCACTGACAGGCAAAAGATTTAAGCCCCAAACATGTTTTCCCTGCTCAACACTGTTCAGTTGCAATTCCCCATGTCTTTTTTTCTTTCAGTTGTCCGGTCCTATGCATTCTGGTGTTTGTATCCACTGGTGATTCTGTGAATGATATTAACCACCATTTTCCTCAGCCGACTTTGTTTTCTTTCCATGTGCTGTGCTTGCGAAGCCGCTATATTCAGAACTCCTCATAAAAAAAAAGAAATGAAACTTTGAACCTCAAACATGACAGAAACATCCCTTTTGTATGCTGAATTTTACTTGAAATCACTGGTGCAAAAAAACATGAGTTGTATTCTTCTTAAATGTGAAATGACACCATGAGGAGCTTTCTTTGTCTTGCTCAGTGATCTATCAAATGTTTCCAAGCTGTTTCTACAGGGAGAGGATAAATTTGGGCTGTTTATACTCTGAGGAACAGTTGATACCTGAGATATAACTTTTCTTTTTTAAATTTCCCAGCTATCATCTAACCATCACTATATGTTCCTGTTAAAGGTTGGTCTCCAAAGAAAAAAAAAAAAAAAAAGACAAGGCATGGTAGAATAGCAGAGGTCTCCTCAGGCCAGTTTGTTTCATGGTTATTGTAATGAGTTTAGATACAGAGGAATGATGGCATTCTGGCGTAAAGGCTTTGGTTTCTGCTTGCTTTGCGGTAGTGCCCTCAAGCCTCAAACACTGTAGTTGCTGGTAGTCTTAAAAAGCTTATTAAATAACTGGCCTTCTTCTAACATCTACAAAACAACTATCTTTGCAGTCTCTCCTGCTGTGTTCCTCGCATGGCAGTTGTAACATAAAGGAAGCTAGTTAGAAAAACCAAAGTATTTGCAGAGGATCAAGACTGAGAAAGAACCAATATTTGCTCTCTCTTCTTCTTTCTGTGTCTGCTAAGACCCAGCCACTCTGCTGTTTCACTGCAAGTTCTCTTTCAAGACAAGCTGCACAGCCAACTTACGTAGTATTCAGTTCACTTCTAGTAGCAGGGGAAACCACTCAGGGCACTGAAATGAAACTGTGATGGCAACAATAAAAGCTTTTCATTGGAACATCTCTCATTTTTGTGATTCATAAGATATTCCGATGTGTTTTATGAATTGTTGGTGAAACTGCTTGTAGTTAATTTAACATCCACAGGCTCTCATTTGCTCAATAACAAGCAAATACAAAAAAACTTGAAGAAATTGATGTTTCTTTCAGCAGCAGAATGTAGTGACTAATATTTTCTTACTTTTCATAAATGTATTTTTTGCACTCTGTACTTGTTCATCAGTGACTCCAGTTGCTAGACTGGGGTGTTCCCCTTTACCATGAATGACTCTTAAATCCAATGCAGTTTAATAATGTCACCCTCTGGTGGAAATGCAAAGAAACCATTGACACTAAGGATGGGCAGAAGAAATGATGGAGCGAGATTAGGGCAGAGGGTTCTGTATGAGCAAGGTCGATTACAGGGACAGTGAGAGGTGATGGTGACTGGAAATACTTGGCTCCAGGTGCTGTTAGCCTTGTGTAAAAAGATGTATGCCACTGCCTACAGTTGCCTGTTCTGATTCTGACTTGATCTGTAAACTCTGGCCTGTGCATTCAGTGTTGTCTTTGTTTGCTTGTATTTTGTCTATCCTTTGCACTTCAGCCTCCTGAAACCTTAGCTACCAGGCGGGTCTGGAGAGCAGGGTCCAGCAGAAGAAGGAACTGAGCAATAGACCAAGTGATGGTGAGATTTAATGATTCAAATGAGGGCTCCCTGAGAAAAAAATAGCTGACAGCAGTACAAGGATATCTATTTTCTAAGATATGACCCCAAGGGGTAGAGCGGCTATAATAAAGCAAAGACTCGCTGGAGAGGGGCTCTGAAGCCACTCAGGGATTATGACCTGGTCAAATTTTAGTAAGCTCTATCACTGCCATTTACAAAACAAACCAACCCAGCTTTGAGCCTCCTCAGACACCTTCCTTCCAGTGCAGAGAAAACATGCCGGTGAAGGTCCATCATCTGTACCAGGAGGTCGAGTGAGATGTCCCAAGGAAGTGCTGAAAAAGCAATTCCTGTAGACTCTTACCCAGTCCCCCATTCCTGTGTGGTTTTAGGCCGTTAGCACTATTGCTTGAGGCCCTTCCAGTGGGAGATGCTCCCCATTGCCATGTGCTCCTGCTATGGCCAAGTTGGAGTCAATGTTCCTTGGCCCGGTTGGGGTGTATGTCGCTCAGCAACTGCCTGGGGGAAAGGGATTGCCAAAGGGCTGTGGACAACGGTGGTGCAACCACCTGCTCCAGGTGCCTTGTAGACTTCCCATTTCCTCCTAGCTTGCTCCTACCTGGTTGGAGCCCGGAAAAAATAATTAAAGCTGCAGCTCAGGGTTTCAAGCAGTTCTTACATGTAAGGAACTGTGCTGGTGAAGCGCATAGGAAATCGAGTATCGAAAGAGCAGTGCATGTTTGGCACTAGAGGCGACTGTCAGCAGATGCGTGGAGCCATCTGCTGTTCTGCTTCCTCAGCGTCACCCGTGTCCTCTAAGGTGCCCTGCAAATCATGGTCGGTGCAAACTGACAGAAACTGCCGTTTCTTTGTTTCACTGTGCTGCTGGGTTTAATTTTAATGCAGCGAATGTAGCATTTATGGGCTAAACGCAAACTTCTTGTGCCAGAAATGCAGCTTCTTTCGGTTGCCTGCATTATTGTGGCATATGGACCTATATATAGCTGGACTGCTGGGCTGCAGCTGAATGTGGAGCAGTGACAAATGCATGTAACTTATCAAAGATTTAAAATCTGAGTGGGATGGAAAACAGACTGTTCCAGTTACAGCTGCAGTTGGCAAGTGGATAATATTCCCTCTATAGCGAAAAAGCTGTGCCAGAGTCCTTGCTTACTTTCTCAATCCCATTCACTAACCTCTGCCTTTAGTGATACAAAATTAATGTGCTTCTTCCTGCTGATTGAAGGATCACAGTTGAAAATTTGGTGAATGCAAACTGTTCTTCACAGGCAAACCCTTTCCCCATGTCCAATGGGAGCTATTTCACGGTATTTCTTTAGGGAGAGGAATGGCAAATACAATATATTAACTATTGACATTTGTGTATTGAATATTAGTGTAACAAACAAATTTACACAGGAGCAGTTGGTGGATATTTTTTTCCGTGCTGAAAACCATGTGTTACTACTGACACTGCAAAACCCAGGTCTTGAGGTTTGGGTGTGTATATGTTGAAAACCAAGCTCTTACAGTAGTTACCAAGTAAATTAGGAAGTTCTTATTAACAATGGCAACAGAATTGTTACCAACTTCAACGGAAGCTGTATGTATGTGACACATGTCAGAAGCCATCCTTTAATAGTTATAAATTGTTCTCAATTTTAGCTTTGATTACTGGATTTTAATTTTCAAATAATAACTCTGGAAGCCGCAGGTTTTCATTAGTTATGGGTGTCTTACAGAGTTAAGAAACTGAAGTGCAAACAGTAAATCATTGAGCAGGACTGGGTAAGTCCTTAATGCAGAAAATACTTCATTCACTACTAAAATGTGGCCATTTTAGAAGTGGTTTGTAAATGGCCTTCGGCAAAGCACCGCACCATGCTTGGACAGTAACTACAGGGGAAAAATATTAGCATGTAGGAGCTGCAAAAGCAATGGTGGGTAGAGACTGCAACTTCTAGAATTCAAATTTGGGAAGAATAAAGCTGGTGACTGAGATTTTCTCTGCAAAACTCGCGTGTGTTTTTTACTGATAACAGGACTTGTATGGATGGGACTTGTCCCCTCGTTGGCAACAGTGTCCTGCTGGGACGATGGTTTTGGATTACCTATGAGACCTCAGTGAGGGACCTCACAAAGGTGGTAGAGACAAGATATATATGACAGAATTTAACGTGCAACCAATGCATTTACAGTTTCTTTGTGAAATATATCCTTAAAGCTTCAGACTATCCTGGACCAGGACTTCAGATCCACTCCCAGCAAATTCCAAATCAAAAGGAAATACGTGGGTAGCAACTCCTGATGCCAGTGTCGAAAATTACAGCTTTCACTGCTGAGTGATTTTCCAGGTCAGTGTGATGCTCTAACAGGCTGCCTTTCTAAGTTTTTTTTGTACAAGTTAAAAACCCCAAAAAGTCAATGAGAAGAATTCAAAGTATTCTTCAGCTTGAAGAAACACAAATCTGATGATTTTGGGACTGTGATGTGATATTTGAATGAGAGGGATTCACAGTGGCACCTAAAAAAGATACTGATGTCCATGTATCTCACTGCAAGCAGTTTGGCTAAATATGTGTCTTGTTCACTCTGTTTATAAGTAGAACGTGAAGTATAGTTGTGAACCTGCCAAGAAAATTTGGATTCAGGCTTTATTAGTTCCTCAAACTGTAACCAAGCCGTGAAAAGATTTATGTTAAGTGTCAGTGTGATTTCCAAACAGGAAAAAAGTTGATCATGATGAAAAAATAAGACGTAAAGATAGCTCACCACTCCTCAAAACCCCAAAGCCCGATCCCTTCACCAAACCCAGAGATCTTCTGACTCCTTTTTGCACGGCCAAATACTATTGAATGGATAGATATAACAAGTGTGTGTGTCTGTGTGTGCATTTTCATGTGTAAATTGTGACTTGCTAAGTAAGCTAAGAGTGTATCCTTAATTTATAGTGGATGAAAAGATTTTATCCCGTACTGAGAAACTGGTTTACTTTCTCACATCATGGGTAGGGACTGAATGTTGCTGGTCCTCAGGGATGTGTTGATCCAGTCTAAGGATATATGCAGTATTAGTGCTGTACATAGGAAAGTGTGTGTTGTAAACTAGCTGGGCAGTTAGAAAGCATCAGTTTCCTTCTGCAGAGGTTTTGAAGGAGAAGTAGTATCTTTAAATAAAGGCTGCAACTAACTGAAAGTCCAGTGGAGGAACTTAAAGGGCCATCAGTGGGCTTTCAGACAGGCTTGAATGGTGCAAAGAATACCTCAAAGAGTGTAATGTATAAAATTAGCAGCAACCCAGGAAACTACACAGTATTATCTGTCACAAATCATAACAGTGGCCTGGTGTGGGCAGGAGCTGCGGGGCTGCAGCTTCCCAGGCGTGCTGGCACGGTGCAGCACAGCGAAGAGCAGCAATGGCTGTCTTGGCTGCAGCTGAACCCAGTCCTGGTAACGTCTGTTACTGGTTGCCCTCAGAGCACGGATCTGTGTCAAGGAGGCTGAAGTTTTTTAAGAGACCATTACAACAAAACTCTTCCTGCTAATGCAAAAAAAAAAAAAAAGAAAGAAAATGTTGATTTTGGTTTTCAGTGGGTTTACAAAGATTTACCACTTCTGCTATGAGGAGGCATGTGCGTAAACGAGCTATTTGTTGCAGAGCCCAATGCCTAGGGACCCCCCTGCAATTTTTAATCTCATACAGTTGCTCAAATATTGAGCAATACGACCTTGCACGTAAAGAGAAAATTCTATATAATAACTTGTAAATATGTGGCATAAAAATAGATTATGTTATGCTGACAATCCTTGGAAGTCTTCCACTGAACAGTGTGGCAAAGAAGGCAGAAGTGCAGGTTGTCAGGAGGGGCCCTTGACTTAGAAGTGAAGGATTTTTGCAGATGCTGTTTCACACGTTGCAGCTTGCAGAGGACCCGGGCCTGTGTGTGCTGTGATGCACTGTGCTGGTGGTGGGAAGGATTCCTGGGAAACTACTGGGGCTGGGCAGGAAAACGCTCTCCTTTCACAGAGAGCTGGCAGAAAGTACTGGGCTTGCACCTTTCATTCTGAAGACAGCACATGGGTCATATTTAAAGGTACCTTTTACTCTTCCTGCACAGTAACTCAACATTGTCTGAAAAAAAAAAAAAAAAAAAAAAAAAAAAAAAAAAAAAAAGAGAGCTAAATAAATCAAGTGAGATTGCATTGCTCAGCCTGGCAATCCACCCCCCTTCAGGCTGACTTCATGCAGATGACTTCTTGTTTAGTCTCCGAGTACCTTCCTCTTTCTTTCTGCATATCTTAACATTTCTTTTTTTTTTTTTTTTTTTTTTTTAAAAAAAAAAAGGTAAAAATACCATTTTTTTAAAAATACCACTTGCTTGGGGTAGGGACAGAGGGAGTTGTCTTTTCACACTTGCTTAGGCAGACTGAATTTTGATAAGTAATTTAATTTCAAGTGACGCTACACTTAAACAGTAAGTCTGGAGTCTGGAAGTCCTCTGATATGTTAAAAGTTGATCATATAAAATATATTTGCACCTAATACAAGACATTTTGTGAAAAGGGGCTGTTGTACAGTGGAGTGTGCTGAATGCTCAGTAGCAAAAAATGGAGTATTTAATATTTGTGGAATTATTGTGTATGGAAAATTGTTTAATGGAGAGGCTCTCCATTTTTTAGAAACAAGGTGGTACTAAGGCCCACAAAGAAATTGTCTATTCCTTCCACTGATACTCTAGAACAACTCTTCTGTGTTAGTTGGAAAGTGAGAGCATTTCTTCAGATTTGACATGTTGCCAGTTCCATCAATGTATAGAAATAGGGTCCCACTGGCATGGACTTGTTTTTTAAGATTGGTCCTTGATTTTTCCATGTAAGGTGATCTCAGCTTCATAGATGGCAACAGTCCTTTTTCCACTCACCTAGCTCCAGTGCACAGTGCCAACAAAAATCTCCTTTGCTCTTGCAGCAGATGGTGGCAGGAGCTTCTCAGGGAGGCCCCTGGGGAAGGACTCTCAGTTGTCTGATTGACATTTTCCAACCCCAGCGCGTTGTCATTGCAAGAGTAAAAAGGATATTTGGAGGCTGTGGTGTGCACATGGTAAATGTGTCCTCTGGGACACATCAAATCTGGGTACACCTGCAGGTTTCCCTAGGGGGAAATCAACTATGGTGGGGGAGGCTGCAAAGGTTGAGGAAGGTTGTGGTGATCAGCATGGGCAAGTGGTTATTTTGTCCCAAAAGCCATTGCCTATGGTGGTATAGACACAGTCAGTGTTTGCAACGTGTGGCAAGCAGAGCACGGGTGTGAAGCGTGCGCTTACCGTGCCCTGCAAGCAGTTCACAGCTTGATCGTGCCAGGTTGGGGCCAAGCACAGTGGGACCCAACCCCGTACCTCCAGTTCCCGTTGTCCCAGCGTGTGCCGATGTCCGTTGACCAAGCTGGCAGCCCCTCGCTCAGCAGAGCAGAGAGGGGATGTGCTGAGGGAAGGGCTCCACCAAACTCTGGCCTTCGGCTCAGGCCACAGCTCTCGAAAATCAGGAGATATGCCTACTGGCTTGGATCAGGTCCCAAATCCTCAAGGACGGTCTTTGCTCTGATTATTGCATGCTATAAACATTGTTGGCACTGAACACATATTCAGAAATAACACTTCTTTTAAAAAAAAAAAAAAAACAAACAAACAAACAGTAGGATTTTATTAGGTATGAAAGTGCAGGTTAAACATTTATTGCAATCAAATATATGTAATGCTAAAAATATTCCCTTTTGCTAACAGTCAGCTTCCATTCATCAGAGAGATCTCCCTTCCTGTAAAAAAAAAAATGAGCTTAGGTCTATGTGCATTTGTACCATGTGTATACCTCAGCACGTGTACAGGTTTTGATGATGGAATTTTGATAGCTTCCTTATCCTTACGTTCTTCTCAATCTCCTGTTCTTGTCACAGAGCATTGCATTTGCTTCTCTTTTCCCTCTTCCTCTCTCTCTGTTCAATTCCATGTTAAGCCTTGACATATTGTTCTCCTCTTGCTTTTAAAATCTTTACTGGTTTAGAATATGTAATGCTTAACATGAGTCACATCAAGAATTCAGTGCAGCCATTAAGTCTCTTCGTAGGGGCGATGGCAATCTCAGCGGTGGCTAGCCCTGCAGAAGACACACGTACGTTTCTTCTTCACAGAGCCTTTTAGACAAAAACAGAGCCGTCCTGGTCACTGGTGTTCAGGGTTATGTTGCTGTTAATGACACTTTCTGCATAGCTGGCTGAATAGGTAACCTGGTAGCGACTGCAGGGGCCACAGAAACATAGGAACGGACAGTACTTTAAGCAGACATTATGAAGGTATTTCCTGAATTTTTCCCCAGCAAAGGCATAGATAAGAGGATTGAGACAACAGTGACTGAATGCAATGGTTTCGCTCAGGTGCATTGCATAGTCCAGTGATTTAATTTGGTTGCAACTTATGAATAACTCACAGTGCTTTAAAGTCTCTAGAAAAATCAGTACATTGTAGGGGGACCAAAACAGAAAAAACACGACCACCACAACCAAGATCAGTTTTATGGCTCGCTTTTTTTTCTGATTTTTGCAGAACAGCAGGGTTTTGATGATCCCACAGTAGCAATAGCATATGATACAGACTGGGATAAAAAAGCCAATGGTGTTCAGCTCCACATTGCAGAACACTGGCCAGATGTTCTCCAGCTCCTGGGGGAAGACAGAAACGCAGTCATTTTCTACCAGCTGGGAGAACACAAATTGTGGCACTGAAACTAAAACCACCATTGCCCATACTCCGCAGGTTATAAGCAAGCCATGTTTCACTGTTCTGGATTTGAGAGAATATGTTGCCCGGACAATGGCCAAGTATCTGTCGATACTGATAACAGTGATAAAGAACATTCCCCCAAAGAAACCGATGTAATACAGCGAGGAAACAGCTGTGCATGGAATAGTCCCGAGGGTCCATCCATGCACTGTGTTGAAAGCCCAGAAGGGGAGGGAGATCACGAAGAGGAGGTCCGAGATAGCCAAGTTCAGGAGATAGATGTCAGTAATGCTTTTTTACTGCCCTTCGCAAAGGCAAAAACCACCATTAGATTCCCTGTGAGGCCAAGAGCAAACACAGCCATGTAAAATATTGGCAGAAATATTTTCCCGAATTCTTGGATGTCAGTCTTATTGCAGGAAAAAGCATGTTCGTCATAAGCATATTCAGCTGTCGTTTCTGTGAATGCTTCTGTCATGCTGGATTTTCTGGCTAGAGGCAACATGAAAAGGGAAAGGGACTAATGTTAGAGAGATCCAGTATCTGCTGTGGTAAAATACAGAGACACACACATGCTTTGGGATTTTGTCACTGTTTGGGTTAGTGAGAGTTGTATTGGTGTGGAGGTGCTGGTAGTGACTAACAAAAGCCCAGACTCTGCTGTTACATGTACTTCATTGAAAATTGGAATAAGAAATTTAGGGTAAGAACAAATAAATGAGAATCTCAAGGGCTGTCAAATAAGCCCCTGCTTATCGAAGAGCAGCAGAAGCAAGCTGACACCCAACTGACCGAGCGCTGCCGGTGGTGCGTGGCGCTGTGTGAGAAATGCCGGCGCTCTCCCAGTCTGCTGGGGGTCCCTCAGGTGTAGCTGCTGATCAGCACGTGGTGCCTGCCAACACCACCGAGAGCCCAGGCTCATCCCACGCGTTAGCCCCAGGGTGGGAGTGTGGCAAGACGCCCAGTTTGGCCAGGTCTGAGACGATGCTTGCTGACGTGGCAGGAGCAAAGTTTGCACTGGAACATCTCTTAGGAGCAAGAAAATCTTTGGTGAGTTTTTTTTTTAAAAAAAGCTTTTTTTTCCTCTTTCATCCTATGACCGAAAGAGGATAAACTGTATTAACCCTTCTCCTCAAGCACCAAAGCGTCTTGTGACTGTTCCTGCCTTGGATGTGAGGTAGCCAGGTTGGAGCCACGGCTTGTTAGCTTGGAGGCTGCACCCAAAGAGAACGTGGGGTGCAGGTGTGTGACCCGTGGGCTCACTGGTCTGCACAGCCAGTAACTTGGGGCACCCATCAGTTCTTCTGCACTCCCTTGGGATATGGTATTCAAGTCTCGGCAAAGATTTCTCTTTGCAGGGACCCAGAAATCCTGGAGGGGTGCAGAAGTTACTGCATTCAGTCTGCTTCCTGGTTGGGGTAAAGAGCTTTTAAGTATCTGTTACTTGCTCTCGCTGTAGAAAATGAAGAAAATTGAGCATGATACACTGTGCAGAAGCTTGGGGAGATGACAATGTGGCCAAACCAACCTGTTAAAGCAGAGACTGAAAGGTCAGTGATAACAAAACTGCAACTAATAACTACCCCTTAGTCACAGTCTCACAATGTTCTTACAGGAACCCCTGTTGACTGTAAAGAAGGGGTTAAGTTCAGTGACCATAAGCTGTCTCTAATACAGATGTTTAGACCTCCTGTTCGTGGGCGATGTAGTCAGTAGGGCCAGTGAAGAGCAGTGCATCTGAGCCCACTCAGGTCAGGCCAAATCTGCTTTAAGACAAGACAGACTGCTTTCCAGACTCTGCCAACCGCATTGACAAAACTCCTCTTGACTATAGGGAGAGCATGGGCACGTTACTCAGTGGTAGACACCGATGGTGTGTAACTACTCCCACTTCTGACACTTAGAGCGAAGTGGTTGGAATCCCAGCCCACATGTCCACGTTTCACTGATAGCAGTAGTTTTTATACCCTCTGTTTAAAATAAGCCTTGCAAGACTAAGCATGAAATAAAGATGTCCTGAGGTGTGAGACAGTCCTTGCCCGAGAAATTTCATATGGCGTAGTGGTAACTACGACAAACTCGCTCAGGGCTGGCTACTGTGACCATATTGACATTTTCTCCTAATGCCTCATTGTCAGAGTGCTGTTTGTGGTGTGGACCATGAATGTCTGGTCTCTTATTTTATAGTAATTTGTGAAGGAGGGTTTTTTTGTGCTAGTTGGAAATGCAGGCTCTCCATTTTAAAATACCTTCTTATTATGAAAGTTCAAAGCCTAGTTGTCCTCAAAACATTTAAATGAGAATTGCCCACAGTTACTAGAAAACAATCTTTGTGGTTTTGCACAGGAAAAGGGGGCTAGAAGAAGGGCTGTCTCAGCGCTGGTAGTTTTGGGGCATGGGCATAGTGTGGGGAAGGCACTTTTCAGCACGCAGGCACACCCACGGGCAGAGCAGCTCTTGCAGTGCCTTTCCACTTGAACTGGGAGCTGAGTCTGCCTACAGAGGCTGCCCAGCCCCTTGCTTGCAGCCCACTTCAATCCTCCAGCTTTTGGAGATGTGGTGTCCAGCACCAGCAGAATTAAAGGGGGCGAAAAGGAAACGCGTAGGTGCTGGGGCAGAAGCTGACAGCAATTGCAAACAAGATACTGATTTTCTACTGGTGAGATAACTAATTACAGTTGCCTACAGAAATATGTGACAGGTTCTTCATCTCTTCTTGGGTGTGTCCGGTCATTGCTTTACCTACCCTGTTGAGGGATGCAGAAATGAGCAGGAGGCATCATACATAGTCCTAATAGCTCATCATTTTCTGCCTTCCCATTCTGAAATTTTATTTCTTCTCTTCTGAGACTAAATGCACGCAGCAGGTGCCTTTAAGATGAAAAGAAGCGTTGGGGTACCTCAAGTCTCTTGTGCCAAATATGAGTCACTACGCCAGCCCGCCCAGGTCTTTGCCACTGAGCTGTTACTGCACCCGTCTGCACCGCGCCAGAGCCTTCCTCTTACTCTGTGGGCTGATGTGTTCCACGGCTGGTCCTTCACCGAGGCGCTGGTGTGTGGTAGCTGAGGGCTACCAAAATGGTTGGGGCTGGAATATCTGGTGTATGAGAAGGTGCTGAGAACAGAGTTTGATCAGCCTCAACTAGAGACGTTTCAAAGAGGATCTAGTGAGAAGGTGTAAAGGTGAAGCAGGCAACTTTCCGTAGAGGAGTAAGAGGCAATGGTCATGGGAAATTTTTGCTCACTATATGGAAAAAAAATTTCACCGTGAGGGTGTTCAAACACCAGGACAGGGATTCGGGGAGGTTGTGAGATCGCTGTCCCTGGAGATACCTGAAATTTGGCCGGCCCTGCTCTGGGCATGGGTTTGGACAAGAGACATACCAAAGTCCTGTCCTAACTTCATGACTCTGCAACGAAGCTGGACAGAGACCATGATGTTTCTGCAGGGTGCCCCAGTTTCTTCTCTACTGTGTAAGCTCCTGGTGTTAGGAGCAGAAGCCCCACCACACCCAGAGTTAAAAAAAAACAATTGATATCCCATTAGCATCTTTCCTAACTGTACAGGCATTCAGAGAGGGCTTCTCGGTGGTGTTTGCCTAGACTGTGTGCTGTGTGAAATCCTTGATCAGGAGAGAGGGAGCACACATTGGTTTACTGTCCTCTCTGAGAGCCTCTAGCTGTGCTGGTCTTTCCCATGCCTGCTCCCTTAATTAATGTCTAAAAAGGCAGCTTGTTCCTCTGGAGAGTTTCCATGTGTCCATACAAGCCGCTGCGCTCTGTTGGGCACAGGGACACACGTGTAAGGAAATGCAGCACCCACCGCGGGGTAGCCCGTAGGTCTGGCAGACTTCTGCACAGGCTGTGCCCTTTGGCATTGCCTGGGGAGAAGGCTGGGCAGGGGAATGGCCACTTCTTCACAGGAGAATATTTACACGGAGGTGCAGGATGAACTCCTGGCCTTCCTGAAGTAAAGAGGAACATCACTTGGACTGGGATTTTTCCTGAAGTACCTTTTCAGTCAGGTAATCTCGAGCTCACTGATGAGGATCGTTTATTTCTGCAGTAGCAAATTATTTCCTTTACCCCTGGATGGGTGGTTGCAAAGCCTGTGGTACCTACAGGAAGGAAGAGATGCTGCATAGCACGTCCAGGGGCAAGCGAGAACTGCACTTACTAAGCTGACATTGGCATCCGAATCTGCTGGCACTGTCTGTGACTTGTTCACTCTCTAGCTCCTGGATTTGGTATATCACCAGCCACACACCCATGTCCTCCCACCACCACTCATCCTGCATACGCAGTGCTGTCAGTTCTTTTTGAATATTTAGCTCCTCTGACCCCGCTTTGCTCAGTTTAAGCTGATGCTGCTCAACGGGTGGGCTGCAAACCCCAAAGGGTTCCCAAAATGCAGCCCATGCCAGATAGGCGTAATGTGGTGAAATTTTATTGCACCCTAAAGCGAGGAAACTTAGCTCTGCCCATCCTCCATCCTTCCCTGCCAGGTATTCTCCATCAGCCTCGCAAAGCCCACTGCAGCACATGCTATAGTCTTCTCACCGTCAGCTTCAACCCAGTTTTCTCTCTTGGGCTTATGATAAATGTTCCACTAAGGTACAAAGTGAACTGAAGAACGTGGAGGACCCTGAACAAGGACTGCAGGGCTGTGGGGTCCCTCCACCAGACATTATCCCTTGCTGAGTACAGGAAATAGTAGATTCACTTCTGCTTCTCATGGAACTGCTCAACTGCTTTTCTCTCTCTCCAGATTTCCCCAGCAGTTTTACACCGTACTCCCCACAAACACTTCTGCTTTTAATCATGTTTATAGCTATCTCAAAGACAATAGTCCATGGGACCAAAACCCCTGTTTCTCAACCCAGTTCTTCCCAACAACCCTGTGCACTATATGGGAAGTGAAATTATGAGAGCCCCACAAACTCCTCTAAACAACAGAAGTTGCATTTCAACCTTCAGACAGCACTGGCATCAGGCTGGCTGACACAAGAGCCAAATCCTGTTTATGCATTCGATCTTCCTAGTTATCAGCCCTGGCATTTCAACCAAGTGCCACGTTACAAGCTTTACTGCCAAGAAGAGGGGTTTGTGAGCACTTCACCTCCCCATGATGCCTCTGCCGTCACTGAATGAAAAGAAGTTTAAAAAAAGAAGTAAACCCAAACCTCTGCCAGAGAGTCATGCTTCAGATTTGCACAATATGCTGATAAAAGTATTTCAGCCTCAGAAAGATTTTCACACCTTAGTCAGCATTTCTGGGTGAGACCGACTTACACGCTTTTCTCTGCAAGCATGTTTTCAGCACACCCTGAACGGGCTGGAGCTGTGTGCCAACGATTCAGCTGGCCCAGGGAAACTGCAGGCTTTGTGGAAACCCCTGTGTGAAACCCTATGGGTATGTATGCCTTTCTCACCCTTAGGTCTGATCTGCCACCACCCTGCCAAAATATAAATGCTGTTACTTTTGTACATTTGTGATTACACCCATCTACTTCTTACCGGCTGGTGATTCTCAGCAAGACCGTCGGGCTGTCCTCAGGTACCTCCAAATGAAATGTTGTACCTGCTGCTGGCACTTCTAACACACACAGACACACACACACAAAAAACAGATTTAAGGGAATTAACCAGATTTGGGTGGAAACTAGCAGGAGAGATGTGAGTCTTGATAGCACTCTCTGTGATACTCTTAACCAGCCTGGTGCCAAGCAGTTACCACGCGATCACTAGACTGCTGCTGATACCTCTAACCACGATTTGGGTGATACACAAAGCAAAATTTAGACTTGTGGGCAATACACTAGCCAGAGATGGGGCCCGGCTTCTAGTCCTGCACCCAACTGGTTCCCATAACTCAGCTTATCTTTCAGAGCAGGGTGGCTCCATTCTTAGAGGATGGTCTCTGGAGTTGCTGTGTTAGACAGCCAGGGTCAAAAGCAGGCCCAGCCCATCAGATGCAGTTGCTTTAAATCATAAATATCAGTCTTTTATTCAGTCTTGAAGTGGGGTGACATTCTCCCTGTTCAACCTCTACAGGTGCTGGAAGCAGCTGACACAATGCTGACATCTGAAAGTGGGAAGCAAGGTGAAACAGCTAGTGTAGCCTAACCTTTACCCTGGGCAAAATATAATTTACGCTGTCAAGGGACAGAGTGTAGCTAATACCAGTCTGTGTGGCTTTATAGAAGAGAAGCTTTAGTTTGGACATCTAATGAGATTGCAAGATTGATAGTACTGTGCAGGAGAGCTGGAGCTTTGACTTGCGCTGCCTGTTTACTTGGTCGACACATCTCTCCAGCCCAAAGCAACACAAGCCCAACAAAGCGTTACAATGGCATTTGGGCTGGCTAGCTGTCAGATCTCAAAAGCCAGCCATCCGTGGAGGAAGCCTCACCAAACTAGGAATATTGCTTGTAAAAGGCCTGCAGGAAATCATGAGTTGAAAGCCCAAAACTCTTCAGTATTTTCGTCATTGGTCTGAAAGCAGATTGGGAATCAGAGCTGGCAGGGGGAAGTGATAAGAGTTAGAGAATTGGACAGTGATTCAGGCAGATCTGAGTAATCTAGGGCTTCTCAGATGATTCGTGTTGGCTTTAATGTAGCCAAAGTGACACAGACCATGTCTCGAGAGTGGGGGGTGCATCCACTGGGAAACCTGACTGCCGATACCGGCAGACTGCAACCCAGCTCCCAGCCAGACCCTGCAGTGAGAAAAGCTGATGCAACACTTGGGTGTTTAAGAGGTGCTAAATGGGAGGGAATATTACCACTGCAGATCTTGACTGGGGCGGTAGGCATGCTTTGATAACACCTGATACCACTTTTGCTTATGTTAGTAATCTTGCTCAATTAGTGGGATTAGTCATACCACAAACAGGCGCGTGGAAATTCAAACCAGAGACATCCAAGCTAGAAATCAGATGCACATTTTTAATGGTGAAAGGCTAACAACTGGAACAGACTTTGGGTAGGAGAAGGAGATTTTTGCATGTCTGAGGGTCTCCATGTCAAGAGAAGATACCAGTCTGGGAAATGTTTTTAGGACAGACACAGTGGAGGAGCTCGGGGTGGGGTGGGGGGGAGTGAGGGGTGGAGGGTGTGTGCTGGATAAAGCCCTACAGCCCCTGATAGGGAGGGAGGCAGAGCAAATGGGGGGCTGGAGCACACTGCTCTCAACAACCAGGACTCTGTTTTGGTAAAAAAAAACTGAAAAAAAACCAAACTGTCCTCTCCCCAGCACTCACTAGCCCAAAGCCTGGGATGGGACTCCCTGGAAAGAAGTGGGGTCCCGTGAAGAGCATGGAGCAGCTGCCGGGGCTGGGTTAAAGGGAAGGCTATAGCTGGCTGTGGAAAGAAAGCACAGTTTGGAGGTGGGGATGTTGTTATCAAACAGCAGTCTGTATTGCCTCTGTTAAACCCTGCATGTTTTCCCTACTTCTAGCCAGTTCCTTTATCATTCCTCCATCACTTCTGAGTGGGTGTGGTGTAATCCCAGATGCATCCTTGCTGCCTGTCCCCGCCCCAGTCCTTCCCTGATGACTTTAAGGTAAGGAAATTCCTTTCTCTGTTGTTTCTTCTTTCATCTGTGATTTATTCTGAGATCAGCTGGACCATTTCTGTGGCCCAGCAGAGTTCTGCAAGCTTAATAATTGTTTGTCGGTTTGGGTGATTTAATATATGGAGGCTTCCCCCAAGATTTTGAGGATAAGTTTTTTAAAAGCAAGTAGTGATCTGAGCTGCTTCATTATTGGATTTTCCAACTCAAGGTGGAGAAAGCATGATTCTGAGGACACGGACCTGTTCAAGGTGCAGAAGCATGATGCTGAGGCTTTCAAAAAATTAGGGCATTTAAGGTGTCCTAAATAAAGGACCCAAAAATGGAAGCTGATCAAACCACTGCTGATTGAGATAAATAGAAGCCTAAATACTGAAGAGGCCTGTGGTCCCTTTGCAAAGGCATTTAGGTCAAAGAGATTAAAAAAATGCTACTACCATGAACCAGTTTTACAGTTTTTACACCAACATCACAAACTAAATTAGAAGTAGACACCACTAGCTGGAGATGAGCAGCATGTAAATCTCCAAATTTAAACCAATAGTTCTGGGTAAAAAAACACATTTGAAAAGATCAGGCTTGGATCATGGAGGTCAGGAGGGGATAGTATAGAGTCCAAAATCCTTAATATCTCTCTCCCCTTCACCCAAGGCTTTGCAGCATTGGAAAGTGCTTTCTCAGAGATGCTCCATGCTGACCTAGAGATCACTGCAGGGCAGCAAGTAACCAGGGCACACCTTTCAGCTTAACCCATCACATCAAAATTAGGCGTACTCTGATTTATAAAGAAAATGCAAAACCAGGGACTTACTACTGTCTTTGCTGGCGGTGAGGGCTTCACTACCTGTGCTTCAGAGCAACCCCAGAGGTATTATTTTGAACAAGACCTTGCTCTGTCAGGGCATGGGCCAGCAGCCTCGCTCGGGCTGGTTGTGCTACCATCACAGCAGATTAGGCACAGGGGCCTGAACCCTGATGCCCCGGGTAGATCCCGCCTGCAGCTGCATCCCTCCACCGGCTGGTTTTGTCACCCTGCCAGGAAGACTCCCTACAAACCATCCGGGAGGGATGGCAGCACCGCAGCTCTGTGTGGTTTGCTGGGGCCTGGGCAGACCATGCCAAACCCCTGGCAGCTCACCCTGGCCGTTGCTGGTGTATTTATAGCAAAAGCTGTAAGCTGAGGCTTTCAGTGGTTTTCGGCTGCTTCCCTCGACTCTGGGGAGGACAAAGCCCCTCTGAGGCTGACAGCAGCGTGGCCATGCAGCAGGCTTGGTGCCCGCACGCTGGGGCTCCCACCTCCTCCTTAACGCAGCAGGGAATAAGCTCAGGTTTCAGAGCACGACCTCTCGAGCAAGGGAAGATGCAGGTAGTCACATCAAGGCATTTTCCTGGAGCGCCATTGTTGATTCAAGTAATTCTTCCAAAAGGGAGTTAAGCACTGGGGGGGGGGGGGGGGGGGGGGGGGGGGGCTTCTGAAAAAG